ATCTTCCTGCCCCTGCCTCCCAAGTCCTAGGATTAAAGGCGTGCTCCACCATGCATGGTGACTCACCATCAGTTTTTTTTTTTGAGACAGGGTCTCTCACTGAACCTGGAGCTCACCTATTTAACTAGATTAGCTGGCCATCGAGACCCAGGGATCCACCTGTCTGTACCTTCCCAGCAGTGGGTTTCCAAGGACATGCCCAGCTTTCTACATGGGTACTAGAGATCTGAACTCAGGCCCTTATGCTTACATAGCAAGCGCTTTATAGACTGAGCCATCTCTCTAGCCCTTCACTTTTTATCTTGAGACAGGATCTCATCCTGTATCCAGTTGGCCTTGAACTTTCAGTCCTTCTGCCTCAGCCTCTCAAGTATCTGGGATTACAGCCTAGCATCACCAGGCCTGGAATTGGCCTCTTAACTTCTAACTAGATTCTTCCTAGAAGAGCCAGAAGGGCACAGAGTGGGGAAAGCATGCAATCCACCTATCTCTCCTACTCCAAGCTCTGTTCAATATCTTAGCTCTAGCAGTCACTCCATGGTGCCCTCTCTGGGCTGTTCCATGGTTCTCACAGCCTTCAGTCATCTCACGTCATTTCCTTGTTCATTCAGATTTCAGGGTGGTCACTGTTTTCTGTGGCCTTAACCTCCCACTGGGTTCCCTCCACCCTGCTCACAACTCTGCCAATAGTTCCTTCATTAAATTGTCTTCAAAATCCCAGCTGTGGTCTGTTGTGTTTCCTATTGAGGTCCTGGCTATCAGAGTCACTGAGAGATCAGATGGTCCACTAGGTGACTCTTGCTGTACAGGGAAGGGAGAGAAGCCAGAGGGGTCTGGCAGATTGGCAGACAACAGAAGGATCAAGGGAGTGGGGCTCCCCAGGCACTGATGTACAAGTGTGACAGCCACCAGGGCCTGTCAGACCTGGAAGGCAGGTGCTGGGATCTGAGAGCAGGGTATTGGATTTTAAAGACATGGAAGACAGTATTAGGGTTATGATTGAAACCAAGCATTTAAGGCCAGCAAGATTGTTCAGCAGGTAAAGGTACTGAATTTGACTCCTGGAACCCACATGGTAGAAGGAGAGAACCAACTCCTAAAAGTTATTATTTGACCTCCATAATCAAGCAATAATCAAAATGTAGTTTTAAGGCCAGACGTGGTGACGCACGCCTTGATCCCAGAACTTGGGAGGCAAAAGCAGGCAGATTTCTGTGAGTTCAAGGCCAGCCTGGTATACATAGTGAGTTCCAGGCCAACTGGGGTTTCAGGGAGATCCTGTCTCAAAAAGATCAAAGAAAAAAAAGTAATTTTAAAAATTAAAAATAAGAGGCTGGAGAGATGGCTCAGCTGTTAAGAACTCTTGCAGAGGACCCAGGTTCAATTCCCAGCACCCACGTGGTAGCCAACAAACAGTCCCTAACTCCAGTTTCCAGGGGATCTGACATCCCCTTCTGACCTCTGTGGGCATTGCATGACACGAGCACACTTACACACATGTAGGCAATACACACAAAAATAAAAATAATAAATGAAATGAAATGAAATGAAATAATTAAAAATAAATAAACCCAGCCATGCATGGTGGCTCATGCCTTTAATCCCACCACTTGGGAGGCACAGGCAGGCAGATCTCTGTGAGTTCAAGGCCAGCCTGGTCTAGATAATGAGTTCTAGGACCAAATAAATAAATAAATAATAAATAAATAAATAAATAAATAAATAAACAAACAAATCCAGGAATTTTCGTGTGTGTGATGCTGGGGATTTAACCCAGGGCTTTATACATGCTAGGTAAGCACTTTACCACTCTACCACTAGCCCTGGGAATTTTAAATTTGGGACTCGGGGTGTCCTTAAGAATCCTGCTTCTGGGTGGACCTCTGTGAGTGCGAGGCCAGCCTGGTCTACATAGCAAGTTCCAGGCCAGCTGGGGCTACGGGGAGACCCTGTCTCAAAAAGACAAAAAAAAAAAAAAAAAAAATCCTGCCTCTGCCACTACTGTGTGACTTAAACAAGTGACCTCACCTGTTTCCTCTTTTAAATGAGGCTTCTAATACCAGCCTTACAGGTTGGTATGAGGAGTAAACACATGTAAAACATTTGGCAAAGTTCCTGGCATGTGGCATAAGTAGTCATTAAATGTGCCCCGTGTTGTACACTTCCGGGTAATGGCTCAGCCCAAGGTGTGTGATCCTGGGAGTGGATGACTGGAGTGGGACGAAGGTCATCAGTCAATAAGGCCAGAAAGAGAATGTGTGACTACATGATGGAAAGATGGGTCATCACAACATAGTTAAGTGCACAGCAGGACAGCACAGCCTGGGGCAGAGAGGAAGAGCTGAATGAATACACTTGCCCACTCCTCATTCAAAAATAAGTATCAGGGACTGGAGAGATGGCTCAGTGGTTAAGAGCACTGGCTGCTCTTGCAAAGGACCCAGGTTTGATTCCCAGCACCCGCGCGGCAGCTAACAACCATCTGTAACTCAAGTTCCAGGGGTTCCGAAACCTCTTCTAACCTCTGCAGGTATTGCACAACATAGGTGCACTTACACATGTACAGGCAATACATTCATATATATATAATAAAAATAATAGCTGGGCGTGGTGGTGCACGCCTTTAATCCTAGCGCTCGGAGGGCAGAGGCAGGCAGATCTCTGTGAGTTCAAGGCCAGCCTGGTCTACATAGTGAGTTCCAGGCCAGCTGGGGCTACAGGGAGACCCTATCTCAAAAAGACCAAAAGACTCACAGAGAGCTGCCTGCCTCTGCCTCTCGAGTGCTGGGATTAAAGGCGTGCGCCACCATGCCCAGCTCCATTTTTGGTTTTTAAGGCAGGGTCTCACATAGCTGGCCTCAAATTTGCTATGTTGAACTTGCTATGTTAACCTTGAACTCTTGATCCCCCTGCTTCCACCTCCCAAGGTTAATGGTCTTGTATCTCATTCGGCCTGGTGGTGTTAATGGACTGTGTCCCTCCAGTCACTGTCCTTGGGGCTTCTCCAGGTTATTCCAACTGGCCAATCATGGCCCTGGTCACTCTGGCCTGTGACCCACTGGGACCCAGTCTGCTAATCACTAGAACAAGATCTCCCTAGAGCCTGCCCAAGTTGGAATCTCCTCAGGGTCTACAGTCTAACCCAACTAAGGCTTGGCAAGTGGTGGGGGGGAGGGGCAGTCACAAGACACTTGCTGCCAAGCTCCAGGAACACTGGACCTGCCTCCTATTAGCATTGCCGGAGGCCATGTCTGTCTGAGTTCCTGAATCTCCACGGAGAATACCAGGCAGACCAAATGAGGGTGCAGGCGGCCTTTCCACTTACCTTCTCCTCCTCCATCTGTCTCTTTACATCTCATTCAGGAATGTTCTCTAAGGCCTTGGGAAAGTGCTATTCTGGCCCCCAGCTGGATCCTTCTGGAACTCCTCCAAGAGTGGGCTGGTCTCTGCTCATCTGTGGCATGATGGGCCACCTTCCTCAAGCTCCCACAGTCTACTTTGGTGGAATCCAGTCCACACTCTGGCCCACAAAATTCTCTCTAAACTTCTAAGTTCTTTATCTGCTGGGGTGTCCCCACAGTCCTGGTCTAACCCATTTCTGGGTCTCCAGGGTCCATCAGTTATCTATGGCATCCCACATTCTCTGTCAAGCCCAGGAGAGCACCATGGAGCATGTGCTTCGGGTTTCATGAGGCACAAGGCACTGAGGCATTGCCTCATTTTCCCGACACCACAGACTTTCTGGCATACACAGCGCCTGTGTGGGTTCCTTGCCTCAGCCTGCGTTAGGCTTTCTTCCAGTGCCCAGGCAGATGGTGCCAGCCACAGGTTTCCAAGAGTGTGCAGGGGGACTAAAGCAGTGAGCAAAGCTGGAAACATACGCCAGCAGAAGCCAGAGCCTGTAGCTCAGGAGACCAGCAGTGGGTTGACAGAGGTGCATCCTGGAATTCAGAGGGATCCAGACCTAGGCAACAGCTCCCATTCCAGGCACTTTCAAAATCCAAGCAGAGGAAGAGCCTCAGATCCTAGGCTGTGGTTAAGACCTATGCTCTTCTCAGGTCAGCCAGTTCCCACCTTGAGAGAAGGGCGGGAGCCAGCCTCACCCAGTCCAACCTAACTGCCTGCAACAGACAGAAAATACTTCACATTCCGGTGTGTATCCTTCATCCAGTCACTTCCCTTTGCTGAGCCCATGTCCTAAAGTGGGGGTAAAACCCACACAGAGTCACTGAACATTAAGTAGATTGAGTAGGCATCTAGTTCTAGAACTCTGCTCCTTTCTGGAGACAGTCTGAGATCACACAAGGCTGGCTAGACCAGCCTTGACCCCTTGGCATAACTCCTAGGCTTGCCACTTAATCCCTACACACCAACGGTCAAGGGTCCAGGAAGGGTTCCAAGGTGTGAGCAGGTGCATCCTTTTCCCAGGGATGGCTAGCCCTTGGAAGTCTCTACCCACTCTACTCCAACTCTTAAGTCCTTGCTCCCTTCCTCCTAGGGATAGAAGGCCTGGATGTTATGTAAGAAACCCGAGCTCTTGAGCCTCTGCTTCGGAGGGGCACAAAGGCAAGCACTCACAACCTCCCCTACAACTACAAAGCAGCAAGAAGTGGTTTAGCCTCAGAAGGAGGAAGAACAGAAACCCAGGTTACGAGATGGGAGGGGTGGGAGCATGTGGAAAGGAATTCCAGGTGGAGAAGCCCTGGCTGCCTGTCCTTTCCAGGTTCCATTTCAGGGCTCTGCCCCTTAATGAACTAGTTAAAAACCCTAGGGTCTCCTCCAAAGATAAACAGGAACAAAGCACATCATGAACAAGGTTGGGAGTTGATGACTCTGAGGCCATTTCCTTCTTTGATGGTCGAAGAGAATGAGGCCCAGAGAACAGAGATGCCTGTGGTAGCTGGCTGTAGATGAGCTGACACCCTATTCACCCTCCAGCCCCTATAACTTGGGCCAGGGACACTCCTTCCTTACCCAGCCATCAACAAAGAGTCGAGAGCCTGGATGCCCACCTATGCCCCTTTCCAGGGCAGATTTATTGGTGCCATTTGTAAAACGTTTTCCCATCAGCCCCAAGTCTTTGCCTTCTGATCACAAGATGATGTCTAGTTCTGGTCCTAGACCCATGGATGACAGCAGACCTTGAACTGATGTTGCCAAAAAACCCACGTGTGACACGCTAGGTTGAGGCTCCAAGGGCAAGTCTGTACCTAGTTCTAGAGAGCAGGGGAAGGTGGTGAGAGCTGGACGTCTGTGTGGATGCCAGGCAGGACCCTGGTCAGTTGGATGTGTGGTAAGGTGAGCAAGCCCCACGGTACCAGAGCACACTGTTGTGGCTGAAGCCCAGATAGGGACAGTAAAATCGGAGATCCTGAGAGAGAAGCCCTTAGGCTAAAGTGTGTGGGGCCAGCCAGTGTCAGCCCAGGATGAAAGACATGATGTGCACCCGGCTTTGGTGAGTGTAGCTATACATCCCCCCTTGGGGGTCTGCAAGCCTGGGCCCCCAAGGCTGAGGAAACCCATCTGGGAGTGGGGGAGTTTGGGAAGGAAACTGAGCTGCAAGTGGTTGAGGCCTCAAAGCCCACATCCTGTAGGAGCTGCTTGTCAAGAGGCCGCCGTCCTGCTGCAGTCCATAGAGCTGCTGAAGTGACAGTCCTCTAGGGGCAAAGACGATGTCTTCCAGGGAAGAAGGTGGTCTAGAGACTCAGAAGCAGGGTCAGTCTGCCAGATCCAAGATCAGGAGGCCTCGGTTCCACGCCGCCCCCCTTCTTCTTCCATCAGCAACAGGCGGCGCCGACCAGCCTCATAGTCAGCCTCGTCCACACTGACCAGCAGGCGGACAGCCTCCCGGCCCACAGCCTCCCGAAGGGCCTCCGTCAGGAACACACCCCGCAGGGCCTGCAGCAGGGCGCCACTCAGGTAGTCACCCCAGAAGGCATCCAGGTAGGAGAGCTCTGAGAATTTGATGTCGCACACCACAGAGCCCAGGTCCCTTGATCGCAGCACGGCAGTGGCTTGTCCAAACACGTCTAGCTGCCGGGCCAGTGCCTGGGGTCTCCGGGATGCTACGCCCTGCTCCAAGGCTGGTCCATGCTCACAGTACTCTGCTCGAACCCTGAGCCGAATGTCTGTGAGGAAAGGAGGGGACTCATCAGTAGGAGCTGCAGTTCAGCCTCTGCCCCGCCCTCTTTCCCGCAGCCATACCCAAGGAAGTCCTGACACCCACTCCTGAGGCCAGGTCTGTAACCTCTCAGATGCCATGTCCCCTCTCCAGCCCCTCCACCTTTTGCTGCTCCCCAAATCACCAGGCAGGCTCCAGCCTCTCCCCAGCCAGAGATGCGAGTTCCCCAAATCTCCACAGAACTTGCTCCCCTTTCCTACAGGCCTTTGCTCAAGTGCCTCCTTCCCAATGAGGACCACTCAGACCAGATCTCCTATAGGTCTACCTTGCCACCCCTGACTCCCCTCAGGACCTCCAAGTCCCCATACCCAGCTTGGAGTTCCCAAGGTCTTTGTTGCCTTCTAATTCATTCCATCAGCTGTAACCAGCTGTCTTCCCGAAACAGGAGCCCAGCAGGGACCTCTGTCTGTTTTGCTTCGGTGTATACCCTGGGTACACAGTAAGTGCTCAGCATTTGTATTTGTGAAGGAAAAGGTGCGGTGCATAAGCTAAGGGACTAGCCTATCCCAGATCAACCACAGCCCATCCTCCCAGCAAGTTCCAGGGGGCAAGGGGCCTCAACAGGCCCAGGAGAGGCTCTGCTGAGGGCCGAGTGTTCTTTCCACAGAAGGTAAGGTTGTAGGGCAAGCCGGGGGCCACTGGGTCACTGGAGAAGAGAATGAAGGCCCAGAATGTCAAAGGAAGAGGTCCCTGAGTTTATTATGTGGTCAAATTGTCAGGTCCCCTCAGTTCCCACTTTCGCTAAACCGTGAGGTGATTTCTGTCACTTACACTCTGTCCAAAGGAGGTGGCAGCTCTGCACAGGGAAGAAACACAGCTTCGGAGGCTATCCCTGCAAGTGTGAGCCTGGGCTTGTCACCTTTCCCTTGGGACGTCTATATCCCCACTGGGAAGTATAGCTGTAACAGTACTGCCTCTATACACCCATCGTAAGGCTGTGTGAGGACCAGCTAGCTATGCACTGCTAAGAGCCGCAGCCAACACTTTCAGAGCACTGACATCGGCAGGGCACCTGGGGTCCAGAACACAACGCACAAATGACACTGTGAGGCAGACTCTATTCCCACCCCACTTACAGATGAGGAAGTAAAGGCCAAAGGAAAGGAAGTAACTAGCCCAAGGTCACAGACCAGGCAGCAACAGTGCCTGGCAGACATCTTTTAACCTCCTAGATCCAGACAGCAGGCTTCTTGGTGGATAGAAATGATTCCAGTGAGGACCTTTGGGCACTGCTGTTGTAACCCAGGCAAACTACAACCTCTGCAAACACAGGTCCCTGCCTAAACCAGGACACAATCCCTGCCTGGAGGAGTTGTTAAGATAAAAGAGAACAGTAGACCAACAGGAACAGGCCATTGCCACGCCCACTGCCCAGTGGGTACTCCTAGAACGGCAGCAGCCAACACCTGTGATGTGCCAAGTGACTGACACTGGGAATGTAGCCCTGGGCAGAGGGACCACCTTCAGCCCAACAGGAAACCGAAGCTCTGGGAAGACAAATCTTATGCTGTGGGCTCCCGTCACCTTTCACAGCAGTATCAGCAGAGAGCAGAAACTAGAAGGCAGGTCCCAGGCACCCTCAGATGACTTCTTACCCCACTTACTTCCTCTTCCCACCCCAAACCCTTCCTCTTTCTGCCTTGAGGGGTACCCCACCCTCTCCACTAAAGGCCCAGGGAAGCCTGCCCAGCCTCACTCCCCAGGCCCTCTCTTGGTCCTTAAGTCCAGCTACCTCCATCCTAAAGTTCAGACAAGCCCTCTGGGCCTCCATCCTTGACTCCTGTAAGCCTCCAGCCACACCCTCACAGTCTGGCCACACCCTCCCCAACAATGGATGGGGGATCAGGGGAGTGGGAGGAACAGAGCCTGCCCAAGGCCACACATGGCTGGGCAGCAGTAGAGGCAGAGCCAGCTAGAGGAGTCCCACAGACCTGGAGGTGAGTCCCAGCTCTGCCATGCTCTAGCTGGGGCCTTGGGCAGGTGACCTCACCTCTCTGAGCCCGTTTCCCCATCTGAAAAACACAAACAAACAAGAGGTCCCGCTGCATGGTGGTCATGAGAATTAAATAAGACAACTGATACTAGTACCTGACTCAGGGCCCACAGCATGCAGGCCACAGAAACAGAACTGTGATTTTGAAACCAACATGTCTACCCAAGGTCCCTGCCTAGGACCTCACCTCTGGACTGCATCCCTAAGTCAATCTCCTTCCTCAACTCCCCCAATTGCTGCTACATCCTCCCATTCCCTTCTTCCTAGCTGCCACAAGTACTCCCAACACAAGCCTCAATCCCTCACAAAATGGTCTGTCCACCTCCTCTGCCTACAACACCCCACTCACCCACCAAAGCAAGTATAAGGGACCCACTTCCTGCCCATCCACTCCTCTCCCTGCTCCTCCTCAGCGTATGTTACTGGCTTCATGTGGAAACCACACATCTACCCAGAGTTCCCTGCCACATGGAATGGAGGGAGCACAGGGTCAGGATACACTCATAGGGTCCTTGTTAACCGCTCACACTCAACAGGTGTTTAACTAAGTACAAGACACACAGGATGAAGGAGGGCCTGTCACAGGTGGCATGGGGGACCAGCTGCCCACCATCAGCACTCCTCCCATGCCAGGCCCTCCCCTTGGGGGCTTGTCCCATCTTTGCCCATCTAGTCCTCAGGGCCTTTCACACCACCATTTAGAGATGAGGAAATCCTCCAGCAGTCACAGTCCCCCTGTGGATCAGATCACAGCACAGGAAGGAAGGACAGGAGGCTCAACAGTGAGAGGAAGATGAGCGACTCCTGCCGCAGCTCCTCCCCTGCGCTCCTCAGCCTCTCCTTAACCCTGTGCCAAGACAGCATCAGGGGACACGTGTGCACTCTACCACAAGCTGCCACAGCACTGCACATGCCACGTCCTCGGAACCTTCTGATCATTTCGCAACTTTATGAGGCGATGCTGCTGCTTCCTCTTTGCGGATGGGGAAACTGAGGCACAAAAGCTGAGTCACCTAGCCCATACAGGCTTCTATCTGCAGTGCCCAGCCCTGTCTAAAGCCAAGCTCTCGACTGTCCCACCCTGTTCTCTGCCTCTCACACAAGCATTTATAAATGCGTAATTAGAAGACACCCCAAGGGCCAGGAGAGAAAATGATACTAGTTTAGAATTCTAGTTTAGATAAAAAAGATCAGAGCTCCTCCCTAGGAAATGGCATCTGAAACAAAATGTACAGAAGACACCAGATAACAGGGCTGGGGGCTGGGCTCATCTGGGGATGTCTGGAGGTGACCATACCCCTCTTCACCTCAGTGGGCTCCCCTGCAGGGGCGACGATGAGGACTGAGTCTGAGCATGCCTGGCATGTGAGGACAGGACCACCTGATTCACCGATGACTACAGCCAAGGGGCAGAAGTGGCAGGAACAGAGACAAGGCGGCAAACAGCTGCTCAGGATAGAAGCAATGGGCACAGGGAGAAGTGGATGGACTGGTCCAGGAATGGCAGAGAGGGGAAAAACGGGATGAGGACACAGCACTCCAGCCAGCTAGCGCTAGGTGAACATGTCCACCTCGGCAGCAGGGGGGAAACGCTGCCACCTCAGGGGCTCTGCCTCCCTAGAAAGGAGAGCTGCCCTTGCTTCCCGCACTCAGGTGAGCCTACCACCTTCTGCTCCCAGCTCACCCCAGGGGCTTCTCTTCTGGGGCAGAATTGAGACACAGAAGTGGGAGGGACTTCCCAGTTGAGTAGCGGGGTGACAAAGGGAGCAGGCTCCAGGTCTGGAGTCTGACAGCCCCTAGGTAAAGGAATTCCTGGGCGGGGGACACAAAGGATTTGCATTCTTATAGAGTTGGAGGAGAGCTTCCTGCCTGAGTGGCTTGTTGGAAACATCAACCACCATTTTGCCACACCACAGCAGGGTTAGCTGCTGCTCTCCTGGAGACCATACTGGGAATCACTCCCCAGCTTCCTGACTCTGTGCCAGCCTCACGCCAGTCTTCTTGCCTCTTGTCAATGTAGACTTCTTTACCCCCTACTGAACTAAGTAAGAACAAGGCACTAGAAGCTGCCACCAAACTTCAGAGAAACATAACCACTGCCTCCTGATGGCAGAAACCACCACTTAGGAAGAAAACCCAAACAGCCCAGAGTGCTGGGCACACTGTAATCCCAGCACTTGGAAGGCTGAGGCAGAAAGGTTGCCATGAGTTCAAGTCCAGCCTGGGCTATACAGTGAGTTCCAGGCCAGCCTGAGCTACAGTGTGCTACCCTACTCCCCGACCCCCAACCCCTCTACCCCCCACTCAAAGTCCCCAAACTTAAAAAAAGAAAGGAGGAAGTACACATTGGAGCTTCTATCCATGAACAACTGGAGGTAATTGAAGCAGCTGCAAAATGAGCCAGTTCACGAGATAATATCAGCCACAGTGGACCACTGCTGAGGCCAAGGGATGGGTAACTGGGGGCTGGTAGGTCAGTCCATCTGCTGCAGACTATTTTTCATAGAAAAAGTTGGAAATTGGGCATAGTGGCACATGCCTATTATCCTGGCACTTGAGAGATGTAGACAGGAAGATCAGGAGTTTGAGTCAGCCTTAGTTACATCACAAATTCTAATCTAGCCTCTGCAGCACAGCAAGTTCCAAGCCAGTTTGGGCTACATGAGACCCTGCCTCAAAAATGCCACTCCCCACCACAAAAAAAGAGAAGAAATTAAACAGTGTCAGACTCAATGGCTCACATCTATAATCCCAACACTCGGGAAGCAGAGGCAGGAGGAGCTCTACAAGTTCAAGGCCAATCTTGTCTCCACAGCAAGTTCAGGCCAGGCAGAGCTACACGGCAAAGTCCTATTGCACACCCTCTCCTTGTAACAGTGTCTCCCATCTCTCCATCCCACACACATGGCCTCCTTGCCACCCTGTGGTCACCACAGCACATGTACACGCAGGCCTTTGCTCCTGCCCCCATTTGAAGCCTCTTGACTTGGCTTTTCCTCCCACCAGAGTGACAGCTCAGGGAGAGCAGAGGCCCCAGCAGGCACTCTGTAAACACAGGGAACAGTCCAAGTTTCAGCTGGTTCTGGTCCTGCCTCTCTAACCATTTGACTTCCTTTCCCTTGCCGTTTATTCTACAATTGCACAATGGGGCGGGGGGGCATCACCTGACTTCAATGGCTGTCCTGAGAACTGGAGGTCACACCAGTACATGGCCTGATCCACACTCAGGGACCCCTACCCTCTCACATACTCAAGCACTTGTCTCCAAATGAGGGCAGCAGACAGGGTCTGTGTCATGGGTATTCAGGGGCCAGGACAGCAAGCCCCTTCCTCAGTCAGGTCAGAAGGGACCACCCTGCTTCTTAAAGGTAAGTCATCCCCATTTTTCAAAAACTGGGGCCCAAATGGGAAGAGCCTGGGGCCAGCCCCACCCTGCTAGTGACTCAGCAGTCAGAGCAGCAGTGCACCCCTCCTTCGGGTCCTAACCACACCCTAACAACCTCCCGGCCTCAGGGAAAAGACTTGAAGCCTGGCCTAGCCTGTTCCTGTCCACCTCAGGCCCCAGGACAGTGACTCCCTCACCTACCTAGCCAGCCAGGTGGATCTTGGAACTGCCTGACTGGTGCAGTAGGCACCACCCCTCAAGTCCAGCACTGTGTGAAGACATGGGCTGCACTGTACTCCTGGCAACACCCACTGCAGGTATCTGAAACCTCATCTCTCAAGTGGAGGTGACACCCATTGCCTGGAAGACCATGATGGGCACTAGAAGGGGCGGATATGCACGTGATGCTGGGTGCCAAAGGCTCTGCAGATAGTGACAGGAGGCATCCCAGGCCAAGGTCTCCTGTGGATTCAGAGACACCCCATCTTTGGGCTTCTACTTCCACCCCAGCCCTGGCCTGAGGATGTCAGCTCTGCCTCCATTCCCTAACCTCCAGTTTTCATGAAAACCTACTCGGTGCACCTGCTCATCTGCTGGCACCGTATTAAGGACTCCCCCAGCTCCCTGTGGGAATCCCTCAGCCCCAGAACCTCGGCGGGTACTCTCCCAGGCCCACCAGGACACACAGTTTATTGACCCCATCCCTGAATTTGCGCTTCTGCAGAGCACTTGCCACCAGCTGGATCACATGCTACTTGGTATATCTATGAGTTATCTGCCTAGCAGACTATCCTATAAACTGAAGGCCAGGGAGCATCCCTGCCTGGTCAAATCCTGTGTCCTCAATGCTTAGAACAGTGTCTGGCATGGAGAAAATGCTCAATAATAAAACAAGGTGAAAGAGCTAAAAAAAAGTCCAAATCAATGCCTCATCTCCATCTCCATCCACAAAGCCTCTGCTCCTAACACTCAACCCCAGCCATGTCCCACACTGGGATCACCCTGCCCAGCTACTCTTCAGCTTCCTTGAGCCTGTCCTGAAAGTGGTGCCTCCGTAGGAACAGAGGGCTTCCTTCCCTGCATCCCAGTGCCTCTGTCACCCTAGCCTGGCTGCCATTTCCCTTGTCCATGTCTCCATGCCCGGGCAGTCTGGAGGCTGGGAGACCTTATGTAAGTCCCTCTGCGTTCTTAGGTTTATTCAGCTCAGAGAGGAGGACCAGAGTTGGTTGTCATGTCCTCACTGAATCCAGAGAAATGTCTCAATGGCAAAGACTGAGCATGAAACCATGAAACCCCAGGATGGTGACACATGCCTATAAACTCAGCACTGGGGTGGCTGAGGCAAGAGGATTCCAAATTCAAGGCCAGCCTAGGCTACATATTGAGTACCCAGCAAGCCCAGGTCACATAGCAAGATCCTAACTCAGAAAGAGAAAAGGAAAAAAAAAAAAAAAAAAAAAAAAAAAAACCCCAAAAATAGGGAAAAAA